CGCTTTTGACATGCAATTTCACCTCATAGTAGTTTCAATCTTTTTAAAAGAAAGACCGTGGAGATAGCTCCAGCAGATTGCTAGAAATAAGGATTTAATTAGTATGTATCGAGGCGCTTTTGTTAGCGGTTTTTGAACATTTTGGTCTACTTTAATAAATTTACTTTAATAAATAAGGGCTACAATTCGCCAAATTTTGGCAGAAATTTTGTGTTTACAAATGTGAGCCTCTCATTATTCAGGGTATTATCTCCAAGTTTCATATTTTTGCGCATAACAATAGCTAGCATTTTTGCATATGTCAAATGCATTGTTAGTTACTGTTGTTCACGTGAAAATGAAACTTGGAGACAATGCCTTGAATAATCAGAGGCTTTCACTTGTAATAACGAAACTTCCGATAAAAAAGTAACGAATTGTAGCCCTTATTTTACTGCTTTACAATGCATCAATAATCTTGAAACTAAAAGGTCATATAAAAGAAAGGTTAATCTCAAGAATCTCAAATTCTAAAAAAAATCTATCTAGCGGTTTAAAAATTATTCGCTAATTTATTAAAGAATACCAAAATGTTTACAAAACCGCTAAACGAGCGCTTCGATACATACTAATAAAACCCTTCTTTCTAGCAATCGGCTGGAGCTATCTCCATGATCTTTCACACACGTTTTTAAAAAGATTAAAACTACTATGAGGTGAAATTGCATGTAAAAAGCGCTTCATTTTCTACAGATAACGGCCAAACAACAATATTGTCCATTTTTTACTGTGTTTCTAACCATAAAAACTTCATCCCAAAATGTCTCGATAACGCTCTCACAGATTCGCTTAAACTTCACGAACATCGAGGCCGCCATTGGAGGAAAAAGCACCCGTGAATGATTTTGGAAGAACAGTTCTCAGTGCCGAGATAAACTGCTGCAAGTAAAATAGGTAATAGCGTCATTTCGTTGCTACGACAACTCCGATGCCGTCGCAACCCTGATCGCAACAAATTTTCATCTTTATGTAATACAACTGTGGTGACAATTTTTCCAAAACTTTGTTTATGGCGACGTAGTTTATGCTCAAACTTGGGAGATATTGGCCCTGAAAAACTGTACGGAGCCACCTTAAAAGTAATTTCATCAATAGACTCTATTTTAAATACAAAGTAGCAGTTCAATGAAAAAATGTTTTTGTTAATGTTAATATTAAAAATAATTAAGAGCTAAACACTGAAAATGTTTTATACTGATTAATACCGCAAGGATATAGACAGCCATGGGCGTCGAGTCAAAGTCGCTATAAAAACTCATAGTGGCGGTTCCATCTAAGTTGATTGCTTCTAATATTCAGTGCAACAACTTCATACAAAAATCATTGTAGCCACGTTTGACAGTAAAAAAAACAAGGATTTTTTGTTTTACCTCAATTACATCCTGCCTAGAACGTAAACTTCGGGTGCTCTCCTTGGCGTGTCCCGATTGTTTCGCCATGGCTGAATGTCACTATTTAAATTGGACAAGTCAAACTTTTGTGTCGCTCAAAGTACATTTAAACGTCGGTTTGGAAATTGGAGAGGTCCTAGAAAGCGCTTCTTCCTCTTAGAGACTGACGGTAACTGGAGTGATAAAAGGCCGCTGATGGGTTTTATAAGTTGGCCTCTTATGTACGAATGCGGAAAAGGTTATTGGAATCAAGGAAGTAATTGCGCGCAGTTACTATTTATAGACCCGAAACTCAGAAAAAGCTCACGACAAATCCAAAAACCTCACGTCAAAAACAAAATACCTCACGACAAAACGAAAGACCTCACGGCAAAACCAAATACTTCACAGCAAAAGCCAAATACCTCACGGCAAAAGCAAATACCCACGGCAAAACCAAAGCTATTTTGTTTTTGCTGTGAAGTATTTGGTTTTGCCGTGAGGTTTTTGGTTTTGCCGTGAGGTATTTTGTTTTTGCCGTGAGGTTTTTGGTTTTGCCGTGAGGTATTTTGTTTTTGCCGTGAGGTTTTTGGTATTGCCGTGATGTTTTTGTTTTTGCCGTGAGGTTTTTGGTTTTGCCGTGACAGTTGTGGACCAGTACGGTCCGATGTATTTCTGCTTTACAGGTAGATGGGCCGGCCAATAACTGGGGGAGCTGGGGCAGTTTACGCTATACTGAAAGCTAGAATGACTAGCCAGTTATCTTCTAAGACAATGACGAATTCGAACTGGAGAACCTGCACTTTCACTGAAGTGAGGGGCGATATACAGGGGCGAATCAAGAATTTTTTTAATGGAGGGTGGCTGATACCAATAGCCAAAATATACGTTAATGTATTTCAAGTTGTCTTAGGTTTGGCCCAGAACATGGCGATTAAGCAACAGTAACACTGCAAACTCTTGAAACGCCACAAAATAGAAGAAATAGGAGCAAATAGAAATATTTTACTAACCCTAGTCGACCAAAAGTGAAAAGCCGTCATTCGTCTAGGGTGCAGCGCCACAAATTTCTGACAAACCACATTTCGATCGATGGCAGCTGCATTTGTGAGGCTGGTTGGCTTCACAAGGTTTTTGTGACCCATGTATTTCCCCTTTTTCCACGCATTATATTTTTAGTGGCTGTTCTAAAGGGGGTTGAGTAGCCACCCAATCCACCCCCGCCCACCTGGATCCGCTCTTGCGATAGGCAGTGGATAAAAACACTCCCGAGTTGAGGTTACTCAGAAAGACTGACTTGAAGGTTTTAGTTTTATTCGCATTCAGGCAGCTGAACCAACAGATGCCAAGGAGTGTTCAAGTTTTTTCAAGTAACTGCGCTAAAATGTTTGTAAACATGACTTTGTAAACTGAAGGCTAAAACCAAATGTGCAGTGAAAGGACTAAGATATGGACCTCGGGGTTATAGAGTTCTATTATATATCTCACTTCCTTTGAGCTTCAAATCACCTCAAATTGATGTAAATTTAGATTCGGTGTCAAACGTACGGTTCCTGGTAAGGCTATACTGTCAGTCAAATCAGCGAACATCGACGACAGGATCAAAAACGTTTACCAACATAGCTAAAACGAATGTTTTTCTTCCAAACGAGGATAAGTTCCACCGAACCATATGAACTAAGCCTTTACGGTTTTAAGAGAACGTTATTTAGAAGTATATGATAAGTTATTAGGGAACAGAACAAGCAAAGGCGTGAATGAGCAACGCACACCAAACGGAAGTGAGATTTTTTTCTCTTTTATTATGCTTTGACGCTACCAGATATGTATTTCAAAGTTTATACTACTACATGAAAAATTACTGCAATTTGATTGGCTTAGAGCAGTGGTATTTCAGCTTAATTTGAAATACCTAGATGTGAAAATTACAAACCTTTTGCGGGTAGTAGTATAAACAAATAATAGCATGATTTGTACCTGATATTTGGCATAAATACCACTCGTGATATTTCAAAATTGTCTAAAATTTCACCCGCCTAACGGCTCGTGAAATTACGTATAACAGTTTCTAAATATCACTCGTAGTATTTATGCCAAATATCACCACAAATCATGCTATTACCTATACGTCTTTACTCTTATAGAGACGATCTGTCCTAAAATTTGGGCAAACCGCAGCTCAAGAATGCAAAACGTCTACTTCCGGTTGATGTGCGTCGCTGAAAAACGTCATTGCTTAAGCTAATAAAGTTTCAGGGGAGGAGAAACAGGGAGGACCATAGAGCTCCTAGGGAACTATTGTCGTAGATTGCCCCACAATAGCCCCCGAACCGGACGTTTTAACCTCGAATAAGACAATTTCAAACACAGGAATTACAGTCTGTTATTAGTTCGTGCAGGCACACTGGCTTCACTGCTACGGGAGAAAGTATTCAAACAAGTCAACCCAGCACATCGATTCTGCACAGACAGAATGTGGCGACTGTGTGGACCAGCACAAACGGGCCTGTTGATGATACCTCAATCAGAAATACTAAAAGCAATTCAAGAAAATACAATGTCAGGCTTGAAAACATCCAACTAATTGTATGATTATTACTTGAATTATTCCACAAAACTATCCACACTTCTTACCTGATGGAACGTTCTGATTACAACAGTGGGAATACTTCCTTATGAGAGGCTAATGGGGATGTGCCGCTGGATGGGGTCGCATTTTCACGACTGGATTGACCATAATGGGGTCGCCATAACAGTATTTCATTACATTGTATTCTTGATTTTCAGGTGACCTTATAAAAATTATAAAATCTATAGTTTCAAAGAACTTTTAAGACTCTATCCCCTCCGGCAAAATACCCTGTAAAAATCAACCCTTCTGCAACATTTATAGCCTACTGGAGTCCTCCGTTGTCATGAGTCCTTGCTATAAACACGCACAATTTAAAAATGGTGGCCGAAAAAGCTTGAGATGGAAAAAGCTGTTTTATTGTATTACATTTGCCCTCTGCACGATCGATGTATGAGAAATAAGGTTTTCTGTGGAGATAAGTGAACCTTCAAGAGGTTACATTCTGGAGGTGTTTGATGCACACTTTGTTTTGCCTCATCGTGGACCAATAGGTATAATTAAGTGAAAATCACTTTCCCTAAGTTCGCGGAAAGAAATTTTATGAAGGAAAAGTCATGCATGAACCAGTGCAGCCCACTTCGGCCCCACTGATGACAAGTCCAAAACGCTTTGTATATGTAAAATTGCGTCTGGATAAAAAATAACGGAATTAGCCATGAGCATCTTAGAGGATACTTTATATGCCTTGTCACTATGTACCTGTATCAGCTGTATATTTACATCTACCTGTATCCATGTTATTGGCATTCACACTCTGAAGAGAGTTTAGTTTATTTGTTTAATTTAGGACAATACTATTGCATTATTTTGTTGAAGTATTTCAATTTTGCAAACACCAAAAAGCGCTTGTCTGCTTCATGATTTAGATCCAGATTTTCAACTTTTTCCAGGTGCTAATGGACTGGCAAACCCCCGAGACTTCGTAACACCTGTAGCATGGTGTGAAGACAGAGACGTGCATGCCCTCTGGTTTCACAGTTATCAGCAAATTCCCGGGAAAACTCTTCAAAGCCATTCAGGTTTGATTTAGAAGTACTAGTGGCTGAACTTCTTTGTAATACTGGTAAGAACATTCCATTAGACCAATTTCAATATATTAAAATTTACACTTAGCTCTGAGGCTTGGGGAAATAAAAAAAAAAGAAATCATCTTAAGCTTCTGCAATGAATAATATATTTTGTTTTATTCCCCCAAGCCTCATGGTCAAGCTTTGTACATGTATGCATTTTAATATATCGAAATTGATTTATTAGAGGCCCTAGGGGATGTTAAAGGAAATTGAGAATCAACCTAGGTTAAAAAAACTTAACCTGAAATCAAATTTGACCTGTAACATATATAATGGTTTATATCTGGAGGTATTGAGTACAGTTTTGGGCATTGCTCATCCAAAGTAAAGGCCTTCTGAAAATTTTGAAGGTACACATGAGCCATGAGGCCCACATGGCCATAGCTTACCCTGGTTTCTGTGGCATGAGGGACTAAAGAGTAAAATTTCAACTCCTACCTGGAGATGATGCTAGTATCCACTGCATGGATAACTCCCAGCAGAAAGTTGTTAGCACTCATTTAATCTCCTGGATAAAAGAAAAAGTAGAGCGAAGTTACTTCTTGTCTAAGAAAATGATGTGACGGCAAGGCTTCAACCAAGACCTACAAATTCAGAATTCAAGGTGTTAACCTCTTGACCACCACACTTCCTGATAAAATTGTGTTAATTCAAAACCCAAACAACACATCTGTAAATGCATTGCTTCTGTTTGAAATGACTCACACATTGCATTATTGTCCTGCTCCTCACTCCTCCACCCATTTTTCATTTCTTCTGTTATTGTTATTTTATCAAATACTGTGAAACCTCTATTACCGTATTTATTTGATTAACCGCCCTGGGCGCTTATTAAATTTGTGGACCTTGAGAATGGGCACTTATTTGAGGTGGGCGCTTATTCGAGGCTGCGCGCTTATTAAATTTTCACCATTTTCAGCTAGTGAAGTATGTTTATTTTGCAACAAAACAAGGTTTCTGTGAAATACTCTGAAGAAAACTCCGTCCTCGGGAAGTCGCTTATTAGAATTTATTCACTCAAGTGGGTGGGGTGAGGGTGAGCGCTTATTTGAGTTTGATTGGGAGGAGGAGGGGGTGGGCGCTTATTCGAGGCTGGGTGCTTATTTACTTTTTCTGCCTTTAGAATGGGCGCTTATTCGAGGTGGGCGCTAATTCGAGGTTGGGCGCTTATTCGAATAAATACGGTAAGCGCACCCCCAATTAAGCGGATTCCCTTTATTAAGCATAACAAACATTGTGCAAGTTTTACAACCTCTATTAAGTGGACACCCTCTATTAACAAGACACTTGGGAACGTCCCAAACGTGTCCGCTTAATAGAAGTTTCACTGTATTATTTTTATTTTGCCCTCTATTCATTTATGCTTCTTTTGCATGACTTGTTTGTTTCTTTAGGGTCATTCCCCTTTTGATGTTGTGGCTTGGCATGGTAACTATGCTCCTTACAAGTACAACCTAAGCTGCTTTAATGTCATCAACACAGTTTAATTTGACCACTGTGTGAGTATAAATGTAGATGCTGAGTGTTCTAGCTCTTTAGTGTGGAAGATATCTGACCATGAATCTAAACCAGTGTCATGGAATGCTCCTCCATACAGGGTCTAATACTTGTCGACCAGTAGTACACAATTTTACCAGTAATACGCCTCCATGTACTTTGATTTGTAACAAAAGGACACCAAAGTAATTGCGTGCGACAAGAGGAGGCCGCAATCCTAATCTCCAGGCTGTTATTACACATGAGTCGCATGTATGTAACCAGCATTTGTTTCGACTTCCACTAAGAATGACGCGCATTTCAACCTTCCAGCCCTCGTTATCTAATCACGCATATTTTGACCATCTGTCAAGTGAAACTTACGCAAAGCACAGCATTGGAGAAAAAGCGTTTGGACCTTTGATCGTTGTCAACCGCTTTCCCTAACCCTGGTTATTACTAGTATTACTTTTAATTCAGCCCTTACTTTATACTGGCTTAATCCATTTTGTAGTAAAGAATCCGAGAGTCTTCTTGTGTCTTGTTTGTTCATAGAAATAGATGTTGCATCTTGATCCAGACTAACACATCTGGGTTTGCGAAAGACTTTTATAGACTTGGTGAATAACTCATGGTAAGCTAGGCCTTTTAGTAGGTTTATAGCTGTTGTGTGTTGTGCAGACTGCTTGCAGACTGCTAGGACTAGCATTCAAACTAAATACATCCTGTTTAACTGGGCAAAGAAAATAAAAAAAATATGTTATAATTTATTTGGGTAGTCATCTGGATGTGTGATGTCCTGACATGACTACAGACCCTATAGTTGCCGTCATGCATGTATAGCATGTATACCCCATACACCACACACCAAGGTATTATAATTATTTATTTCTCGTGCTTTATTCGCAAGCTGGATTGAAGAACGTAGCTGAGTTCCCAATGATGGGACACAAACCTGTGATCTGTCTACACCAGATCATTGCTATGACAAAATCTCTTTATTCTTTGTAGGACCCATCAATATTCACTGTGTTGACTTGTCCCAGTTTTTAAACAAAAAAGTTTTTAAAAAGCCGGAGTTGCTATAGCAGATTTTGTTATATTTCCACCAGGATGGAGTGTTGCTGAGAACACTTTCAGGCCACCTTACTATCACAGTAAGTGACGTTTTGAAGGTTATAATTACAGTGAGAGTGACTCAGACTTCTGCTGGACCTGACCAAAATTACAAATGGGTCGGAAAATTTTGCTGTGTAGTGTAGCAGTGGCGTCCTTTAACAACATCCTGTGGCCTCTCCACCTTACTTTTGCGCTTAGATGACTAGGAAGTCTTAGTTTTTCGTTAGAAATCCTTTGCTGGGCACCCTGGATTTCACAGGTTCAGAGCACTGGGCTTCCTTTCAATTTTTCTCAAAGCACAGCCTTATGTAGAATGGATGTGGCTTATTTCATGTGCTTCCTATGCAAATCAACAAGTATGCATGCTTTAAATGGGTAATGTCTACGACTGTTTTAATATCACAGGCATTTCAGGGATCGGATACAACTGTAGATCGTAGAGCAGTAATTCCTCTCATCAAAGTTTGTGAAAGAAACTACTTTACTGGGGAAAACAAGAATAGCAAATAAATTCAAGTCTCATCAAGGCTGTAGGTTGTTTGGCACATGTTGAAGAGCGAGCCACACCCTGCCCCTGATCTCAGCTAAATTTACCGCTTTTTTAATTTCTGGTGGCTGTTTCAACCGGCTTACACGTAATTGGTCAAATCAAGGTGAGATTTTCTGAAGTTGAATTTTTAGGGAGCACATCAAAGTGTAAAAAAAGAACAAAAAAATCGTTGTTTACGTCTTCCACAATATGTCCCATTGGAACGTTTCACGTTGTAATCGAGCAGCGAGAAATGTACAAAAAAGCATGATGCACGTGCAAAGTTGTTCTTTTAGTTATCAAACCTATTGCCTCTTTGATGTCCCCGTTGCCATCGGCGTTGTGGGTGCTTAAACTCCCTTGTATTTGTCTGAGACTATAATATTTACGGTTTTTTTCTTGTCATGATAGGAAGAAGGATTTGCCCCAGGGGGTGGTAGTCTGCATAGCATGATGACTTCTCATGGACCAGATAAGGATTGTTTTGAGAAGGTGCAAGTGCAGAGCTGAGACCCCAGCGAGTAGCAGATGGAACTATGGTATGCATGACATAAACAGTGCACAAGATAATGTCTAGCCTGGCATTTTTATCATTACATAATGCACCATGATTTGTTAAATAGATTGTACATCAATGTTTGCCATGGTGACATGGCTAATGTGTATCAGGTGCCTATTCAGGTTTTTCTGAGGCAATGAAATGTTAGTCGTTGCCATTTGCAGCGCTTGGAATAGTTTTGCGGCTGGCCTATTTTGGCTCAGACACAACCTGTTTTTGGCCGGACAAATATTTAAAGCGAACTCAGTTATGTCTGTAACTGGGCAAGCTTGAACAGTAATTTTGGTGTAGTTACTGGCGACCTAAATCTGAACAGACTTCGCCCTGACAAACCTGAAGGAAAACTGCTTCTCGATTTGGAAGTTGAACAAGGTTTTGAATGTCTAATTACTAAGCCAACAAGAATAGAAAAGCGTGAAATAATTATAACAGAGAGTTTAATAGATGTTTTGCTCACTAATAGACCGGATAGCTTCCAGCTATCTGGTAATTACCATCCTTGCTTGAGTGATTACGACCTTGTTTACGGTGTCCTGAAGCAGAAAATAAATCACAGCAAACCAAAGGTCATCACATTTAGGAGCTATAAGAACTTTGACCCTGAACATTATAAACAGCTTTTGTCCTCTGCCCCATGGCACGTTGGACAATTGTTTGATGACGTCGACGATCAAGTTTACGTGTGGAGTGCACTTATGAACAATATACTGGACGAAGTGGCACCTGTGAAAAAAATGCGTGTGCGTGATAAAGATGTACCCTACATGACGTCTCATCGGAAAAGTGCGATTAGAGCTAAACGCAAAGCAAATGACAAGTACTTGAAAAACAAAACGCCAGAAAATTGGGAATTACGACGTAAAGCCAGAAACGAGGCCACTAAACAAAGAAGAATCGCCATCAAACAGTACTGGTATAATAAGTCAAACGATTTGAAAAACAATCCCAAGGCGTTTTTCAAAACTTTCAAGCCATTTTTGGGTTCTAAGAGCTGCGCTGAAAGAAACGACATCCACTTAAAAATAAACGGCAGTATGATAATGGATCAACAACAAGTGGCTGAGGAATTGGTTGAGCATTTTGCTACCTTGGCAGATGGCATTGGCGGTACAGCGATTGAAAGAAAGTCAATAGAGGACTTTAGAGACCATCCTTGTGTTCAGAGGATACAATATGAAAATAGAAATTCCACTCAGACCATTGAAATCGAACCGGTTACACAGGGTCAAGTCCTTGCAGCTCTCGATTCGCTGAACATAAACAAAGCCACCGGCACTGCTGGAATTCCTTCAAAGGCTTTAAAAACGGGTGCTAATGAATTATCCGCTCCACTAACCACCTTGTTCAATTCTTGTATTAACAAGAATGCATGGCCTAGTGAATGGAAATATGGGCATTGGGCCCCAGTATACAAAAAGGATGACAGAAATGCAAAGGAAAACTACTGGCCCTTAACTCTCTTACCATGTGTAAGTAAAGTTCTTGAGAAGTTGGTTGGAGCGCAGATCAACTCTGGCTTTGGTAATCGCATTTACCAAAACTCATCCGCTTATCGCAAAGCTCACAGCTGCGAAACAACATTGATCAATTTAGTAGAAGATCGGAGACTAGCGAGGGATCGAAGACAGGTTGTGAGGATACTTTCAACTGACATGTCAAAGGCATTTGACTCGTTACACCCACCACTACTTCTGAACAAGCTTGAAGCGTACGGTTTTCAGGAAAGCGCTATTCAACTTTTAAACAGCTATTTAAATGAACGGAAATATCAAGTAAAGATCGGCCGTCATGTTAGTTCGAGCCGATTCGTGAGTCGCGGCTGTCCTCAGGGTTCCGCGCTTGGGCCGATGTTATGGAATGTTTTCCAGAATGACCTATCCTACTGCCTAACAGCGAACTTGTCTATGTATGCTGACGACCATCAAATTTACCACGCAGGAGCAGACCAGGCAGCTGTGACTTCCCAGTTAAAGGATAGTGCCAACTTAGCAACAACGTGGTATGATTCTAACTTATTGGCGGGAAACCTCAAAAAGTACCAAGTTTTGAACTTGGGCTTCACTCAAAATGACAGCAATATTTGTTTGAATGATGTTGTAATTGAAACTAAAGATAATATCATACTTCTAAGAGTAGTGTTAGATTCTAAGCTAAATTTCTCTGAGCATATGATATCTATCGTAAAAAAGCCAGCCAGAGAATTGGTGTTCTAATGAGACTACGTAATCTAATTCCTGTGAAATCTAAGTTAATATTATTCAAAAGCGCGATATTACCATTCCTCACCTACTGTCACCTAGTGTGGCATTTTTGCAAAGCGAGTGACACTCGAAAGCTTGAAAGACTACAAGAAAGAGGACTTAGAGCGGTTTTCAAGGATAATAATTCTAGTTATGAACAAGTGTTAGAGAAGGCAGACCTGCCCACACTACTAAATAGTCGCTTACAGGATCTGTGCATCCTTATGTATAAAGTAAAGCATAAACTGTGCCCTGCATATATAAGTAACATCTTTAAAGAACCAAATAGTAATTACAATCTGAGGCAAGCAGATTTCTCTATACCTAGGTATGAGACAGTCACCTACGGCAAGCACTCTATTAGATATCTAGGGCCTAGGCTATGGACAAAGCTACCCAAGAGTATTAAGGACGTCACAACCCTAATGTCGTTTAAAAGCAAGATACGCCAACTCAATATAAGTGAACTTTTAGATGATGGCTGCGCAGGCTGTAGCCTTTGTTCATTTTGACTTCTGTATATTTTTACTATAACCTCGTAATTAGATAACTATAGATATTTTACCTACTACTGTATATAGTTTTTACTTTGTATATTCTCCCCTAATTGGTGTCCCCAAATTGGTAAGGGATTCTTTTTTTCCCTTGCTAGACGGCTTTGACACTTTTAATAAAGTTTCTATCTATCTATGTATTACGTAATATCTCAAAAAATTAAATTTTCCATTAGAAGCGTAATGTCCGGTCATCTAGGGAATTGAAACGTCAAAGCATACTACATGTATTGACCGGGTATTGCACGTTGAGCAGCCGTTATGTCAAGCTCTGTATTTGTGCAGAGTTAGGGGTTTCAGTGACAGTAAATGTATTGACCAGTGCCTGGGACAGCTGTTGGCCCGAAGTGTTCTGTTTCGATAGAGAGAGTGGATTTTAAATGTTGTGGTTCAGTTTTATCCTTGGGGGTTTAAATTTCCTTTTCCTATGCATTTTCATACATTACCTTACACACAAAAAGAAAGGAAAATTAAACTTAAACCAAGAATAAAACTGAACCTCAACATATATCTGACAGGATCTGCAAAAAGTTGCCTGCTTGTTTTGCATAGCTATGGCTCCGACAAACCTGAAAATCACGCCAAAGCAGAAAACGGAAAGGAGGAGAAGGAGCGAATAGAAGAAAAGGAGAAAAAGAAATAAAGTAACAATGGTTGTACTTTTGGCTTTTATTGCGGTTACTTTGGAGACAGACTGATAAAGAATTATCCTCCCACGCAGGCGTTTTAAAGGAGGGACAGGTTATTTCAGATAAAGCACGTGGATAAAGAACTGGTTAATAAAAGCGGCCATCTGGAATGGCCAGAATTTTAATCCCAAAGGGTTGTTGCTATTTTATACGCCTTCTAGCAAACTAAGCTTGGCTGTTGACATTAAGTGTACTTGGAGTTGATATTATTGTACCTTATTCGTGAAAGGGGACATAAAGATCTGGTTATGTGGCTCTTTGGCTTGCGTTGATCGTTTTTACATCTATTATCATTTTTTAGGCTATTTTTACATTATACCGGATAGCTATAGTATTATGAACACCTATCCAATATGTGACTCTCCACTTAAGAGATCGGCGCGACGCAGCTTCGCTCCGTTACAGAAATCGCACCTAAATCACCAGTTCGTATGTGTGAACAGAAGTCCTTTGTGGTATGGTTTGCGTGCCCGCGCAAAAGCTATCTGGTATCATCAAAACATAGCCTAAGTTGGTTTTAGAATTTCTCTATTCATTTTTTTTTTCTCGTTGTAGGCATTTATGTTTGGAAGCAGTCTCAGTATGGCCATCACAAAATGGGGAAATGAGACATGTCAGAAAGTGAACCGTCCATGATTACTACAAAGTATGGGAGCCGTTAGCGAAACACTTCAATCCAAACTGGAAACCAGACGAGGAAAAGAAAGTTAAGCAAGCTAGCGTTTAGAACGCCATGACCAGCTGAAAAAGATTGAGCTCAGGGAGGAGAAAGAATACATGATCTCCTCAGGAAGACCAACATTTGGCAGCCGGAGTGCAGATTTTGTGGGTAAAATCTGTTCTCAGGTTAAATCAGAATCTGCTTTGTCGATTGGCAGAATCTCCATTGTATCCTATGATAAATTAAGGATAGGAAACAAAGGAAATTCTGAATCGATCTTGGCCTCCTAAGTAGTCATACCCCAGATCGCATTTTAAGTACAATACCTGGTGCCTTAAACGGAAGGAGAAGGTCGGGATATTAAGGCCAAAACCAAAACAACAACAATAAAAATAACCTCTATAAATATATAAGATAGCGCTGACCCATTAAGTAGCAGGAACACTAATTGTCAGGAGCCCACAGGAACTGTCACGGGGTATTCATAAGCCAGTCCGTTTTTGGACTTTTTAGAATACTTTTTCCCGTAAAAATGGGAGCTCCGCTCTGTATGTTAGGTGCGCCTCTGTTGTATGGCATATGAATAAAAACTAAACTTAACTAAAACGACAAAACTATAGTTAATCGAGTTGAATGGTTATAAAGCCCCTCAGACTCCTTTGTTGTATCTTTTTGTCGACCTGTGCACAATGCACAAATAGCATTCATATCATTTTGATGTTATTGACCAATGAAAACGACGCATTAATTTAGTCCGTCACAATTTTTAACAGAAAATAAAGGATTGGGCACTGTCAGGGAGTTTCC